TGTTTCTTATTTAAATTGATTGCCTGTTACGTTTTTCTTATGGCAGACACCCTAGATTTTAAAACATGTAATGTGTACAAGTGTTTAGATTGAAGGGACAGTTAAAACATGGATAATATGACGGAAAACAGCGACAGGTTACATCGCAAAAATAGATTATATATGTATACTGCAGTTATATACATAATACATAGAACGGTGTGGTGCGCAGCGCTAAGTTACGCGACAGTGGCGCGACAGTGGCGCGGCGGCGGCGCGGTGGGGGCGCGGCTGTGGTGAGGTGGTAGCACGATGGTGACGCGATGGTGGCGCGGCGGTGGCGTTGGAAAAAGGGTTGCTCTTTGCGAATAACCCTAACGGTCGGTCAGTCATTCGTTCAGTAGTTGAGCAAACGTCGAAGTGGTAGAACGTGTGCGCCGGTATGCACTGGGTGCAACGTAGCTCGTTTCCGGTCCATCACCAAGAAATATCGCATTCGTATTGGACGACCGCATGATCCGCCGGTCGGCTTTACGATAGCCTTTCATGACCTGGTCAAGAGCATTTCCGAGGCCAGGCTATGTGAGTTAACGTATCGATTGCCAGAAATTTCACTTTCGCGAACTCTGTGCATTCATTGCGCCATGACACCGAATTACGCGTTGGAAATGTATCGATGAATGTGAAAGGAAATGGAACAGGACCAATTAACTCAACGTTCCTCGATGGTCAAATGTTCATATTTTCTTTCACTCTTGCTTCTTCCAATCCCGAGAAACAATGAACTGTCGAACGAATTCTTGTGAACGACGACACGTTTCATTTGATGCAATAGTTCGCAACCTTCTTTAATAGATTTGCACGCTATCATCCTTGTGAATATTTGCTTTCGTGAAAAAGTTTAACGTAAATTTAATATTATCGAAGTTTAAAAGTGCTTGTAGTATGCTGATAGAAAATTTATGTCATTACGGAAATTTACGTTCTTCTGTTCCGTTGATCGTTAACACATTTTTTATTCACGATAATCTTGACACATAAGAAGTAGCAATTGCAACAGCATATGGAGAATACAATGACAAATATAATTGCTACTCTATTCGACTCCCTCCCAATTCGGTATTATAAATCCACTTTTTCTAATGATTATTATCACGCAAAAATAACATCTTGATTAAAGTACTATATCTTAATTAATTAAACTGCACGTACGTCATATTCGCATAAATTTATTCTATTGCAAATTTATAAGTATAACGATTTATAAATATCGAAAATGTACTGGTATTTATTTTTTAGTTTTTAATAGATAAAGTAATTTAAGAACTGTCAATATTAAAATTAAATATTTCGCACAACTTATTGCAATAAGTGCTAATAAATGATATTTCCTATCGAGCTTTAGTTGCTATTTATCCAGTAAGAAAACAAATAAAAGCTAATAATTATTTTCGATATTATTTCATAATTTCGAGTTGGAAATATTTCGCCACTGCAGCAATATAACGCAATTACAATAGTAAACTATTTGTTTGGGAGACGAAACGTGTTATCGCGATATTGATGCGATCGAAATCGAATATTAAACCAAGAAAAGGCGATTAGCTGAAAATGCATTAGAAGCAAAATCGTTATAATAAACCAAACAAAATATAATAATAATTTTCTGCAATATTTTACTCGTACCGTTGGAAATATTTATGTATTGAATTTGTTGCAAATAAAAAAAAAGGATTAAAGCAAAAAAACAAGAAAAGAACATTTGTTTATAAAACATTTCGTTTTTCGGACGCTGTCAGCGTGCATGCAACAGACGTAAAATACGAAAAGGATCGTGTAACATGTTCGCTAGTGCAAACGAATCGAAACGATGGCTCAGGGATAATAGGATGATACTCTTGAGGTAAATTAAAATGCCCTCATCATAATTGCTCATACCCTATATAAGCAGAAACGTTGTTGTTAGGTTCGATAAATTTAAATATCTTAGCGAGTGTTTAATCCTTTTCTGTTTCTTTTTCTTTTTTCTCATTAGATTAATGACGCTGTTTCTTTCCTTCTTTTTTTTCTTTTTTCTCTTCAGTTCCAGTTCAGTTTAACAGTAATTAATATCTAATCGTTATAGTTTTCCATTGCAAACGGGCCAACTATTAAACTTTGTTTTATAGTTAATATAAACGAAGATTCAGAATGATTTAAATAACATAGGCCGATCGATAAGAAAATTGCTGTAGCATGAAATTTCAATTTGTCTTGATAGAAATGTGAAAATGGTTCATTACTATGTTAGTTAAATTCATTAAGTTATACAACGCATTTGTTACTTAGACACGATTTTGTCCTACATAATTAACCTGAAGTATTTGATAAAAGCTAACGCTGTACGGTAGTTCATTTTTATTACTTTGCTACGTGTACTTACTATATATGTTTGTATATTGTCCCTTACATATAGATATATTCTTCTTTTTTATCCATTTCAGCTTTCGCAGATTTATAGATTAAGAAATACAATAGAGTAAGTTGTTTAACGTTAGAACATAAAATTTCTTCGTTAATTTTACTGATATAAGAAAATATCTAAGGAAGAAAATAACTGTCGTGGAATATCATGACAAAAAAAAGTTTGCTATTATAACATTGCAATGAAGAATAATAATTTTAATTCGTCCGTGTATAGTACATAGATCTTTGAACGAAATTGTAAAATATAATTCATATTAAAAGTGTCTCGGCGTGAGAGACTAACATGTATGTATATACATACATACATATATACACACACACATACATACATACATACATACATACATACATACATACATATGTATGCGTATGCTTTCACCGAATGCTTGCAATAATCTTCACGTTTTAAGTGTTGGAATTTTTTTTTAAGAAATTTGGAGTTTCAAAGATTTCAAATTTTTCTCGTAATTCGAAATTCTTGAAAGCCAGGTAAGAACAAATATAAAATTAATATGTATTAAAAAAAGATATTCATCGTATATCCGCCAACTGTATTTGAATGACTTTTTAAGAAATCCAACACTGTGTTCAAAAAAAAAGGAAAAGATCAATCCAGATAGCATCGAAACGTTAGTGTTTATCAACAAGAATTTAAATTAAATATTTTTCTACATCGTTAAGGTTTTATTTGTATTTCGTTTAACAATTGATAATAAGAGTTTATGCGAAGGTTTCGTTAAGATTTCAGTTTTTAAAGAAAATATTTTACTAATAAATTAAATCGACATTTTGAATTTTGAAAACTTGAAAAGTTTCGAAATTTTATAAAGCTTCGCATTCGGATTTTCAACTTTGTATTTACGCTAGATTTTCTTTCAATCGGTTAATTCGAGAATTCGGAAAATCATCTATAATTCGACGTAATGTACTCGTTTAATCGTCGCAATAAAAATTTAATCATCGATAGTCTCGAAGTCTCAAAAATCCATTTCTTTTATTGCAATATTTACTCCGGTGTAATAAATATTTTCTACCCTAAACATGTTTTCGTATCACTAAAAGCGAAGAGGAAGTATTTTAAATTCTATCGCTAAATGACACATCTTATATATGCTATCCGTTTTATTGATAAATTGATGTATAGATAAGATAAAAAATTATCAAGTAAAAAAATGTGAAGAAATGTCACATGCTTAAAAATAAAAGATAAAAATATAAATTGATGGCGATGATGACGATGATGATGATGATAATGATGATGATGGTGGTGGTGGTGATGGTGATGGTGATGGTGATGACGATGACGATGACGGTGACGGTGATGGTGATGGTGGCGATAATGACGACGATGACGATGACGATGACGATGATGACGACGATAATGATGATGATAATGATGATAACGATAAAATGCGATACAGAAATTTACGATACGATAAACCTGTTGATTATGTTGAAAGTTTTTCTAAATAGTTATTACTTGTAAAGAAAGGTCGTTGCATTTTTACATATAACTAAGTACACCAAAATTTATCTTAAATAACGAATAATATGATATGATTATGTTATCTTACGTTTTATTTTATGGAATTTGTTTAAAATGTTATCCTTTTTATCTGTAAATCAAGCTATATATCAAAGTTGCTCGTGCTATGCTTTTAGCTTTTCTTTATTTTTCTTTCTTTTCTTTTCTCCTTTTTTACGCAATAGCATGTATGCATAAGTATGTTTATTAAGAAATTATTCAAGTACAGCATATTACCTTTGTTTGACATAACAGTGAAAATATATGTTAATACGTTTCATCTAAAATTTACATCGTTACCATGATGTTACTTTGTAAGTTTAAGTATTATTAATATAATACTATTGAAGTAAATATCTTTCTTACATCATATCATGTGTACATTACATCATATACGTATTGATTTCGATATTAAATAAAACGGTAATCATAAAAATATGTATCTATAATTATAATAGTGACATTTGTCTTTCCACGGATACGTGCTTTCTACAAACTCTGATAGACTAAGAGAAATAATAGTCGAAATTTATATTCCAAGAAATATGATTCCACTTTACTAGTGGATTTGACTTTAGCGTAGTCAAAATCGAGCAATATCTTGTTCGACAATTATTATCAAAATTACACGAGCCACGATTCGAATAAAATGTACTACGATATCTACATTGAAATTAACCATCGATAAAGTATATGATATTTAAGAATTTTTGTAATATTTACTACAATCCTTATGTTATAAAAAGAGTGCGTTTTAACGAAATTTATCGAACATGCAGAGCTCCGACAACTTTTCAAAATATAATTAATTTTTTGTTTAAACATGTCGATAATTGTAGCGTTCTTTAATTCTTAATCATGTAAATAAATTGATTTTCGTATAAATTTTTTTATGTACTTCTTATTCTACATCCTAATTACATATTAGCTGCACTTAGTATGTACTTTACATAAACATACTTCTTTTATTGCTATTCAGATATTTCTATGTTTCCGTGAGTAAAAAATCATGTTTAGAGTATTCTTTCAGAGCTGCCCAGGATGTGGAAGAACGTCGTAGCCATTATGAAGTATCACTCGGCACTGCTATGCCAACTGATATCGAACTTGAAGAAAATGACTTTGTACCGCACTTCCAGAGGGTCTCCATATCCGGCGAAGATACTTCCGGGGTATGTGCAAAAATTACGCTACAGGGTTGATCTTTAAATGTAACATGTATTGCTAATCTTCGTAATATTCATAGATATAGTAAAATTTGGAACGTTTTCTTTGGAATTGCAATGACCGAGCTTAGTGTAGAAATTATTAGTTATCGAAATCGGTTATTAAAATCCTTAATTGTTTGTAATCAACATTTAGACGGAGACTTTAATTTGAATATTTGAATAATATAATTTTACTAGATTGTGCACAACTGTAAGACTATTTTTCTAGTTTTGCAACGAATAGAACAAATCGATTAAGCTCGTCTGTAAAATCTGTTACGTAGGGGGATTGTGCTTTTTTGAGATTTCTGTGAGAAGAAACCTCGTGAGTGCTACCTTACGTAGGAAACCCCTACTATTAATTATTTTCCCTGTCCATTACCAACCGTTGACTCTCGTCGCTTTCTAAAAAGCTTTCATTTATCTTCGAACAATTATATTGTACAATATATGACAACTTAAGTATTACTTTTATATACTAATAAAAGAAAAAAAAAAAAAATTAACTGTTAACTAGAAGCTAGTGTCTATAACAATATATTCAAAATCTGTTAAAATTCATTTAAAAAAACCTAAAGTAATCGTCCTTCTACTACATTACTAAAAAATGTAAATATCAACGAAAATTACACAATAGAATTACTTGAAAATTTATGTCAGTATTGTGTCATCAAGGTCGGTAAAAAGGTACATCGAACATCTTTTATAAAAGTGAAAATACAATTTTATGTTTTGTTTTTCATAAACGTAAGATAATTATAAATAATTTTATGGATGTTTGCTGTTTTGTAACACCCTGTGGAAATAATGAAAGGTTAATCACATATAGTACAATATGTTTCACAGTCTAATACAGCTGTTGCTAATAGCCTTGTAGTTAGATCTGATTTGAATTAAAAAATAGAAAAAAAATAGGGGTAGAAGGAAAAGAAAAGGAAAAATAAAATAACAAAAAAAAGATAAAAAATATAACAGTACATGTAATAATCTAACAAAATGTATTATTATACATACGTGTTATATTTATCATGTCATAGTATATATATTTTACTATGTATTTATACGAGATGAACAATATAATTTGATTTCTTTTATTATTTCTGTTATCACTACACACCAATTGAAGTTTTCTTTTTTTAATGTTATGAAAAAACAATAATTATATTACTCAGTAAGTGACATTGCGTACCATTCCTAATAAGTTAGTCTGACTTACAATATAGAATTTACATGCATATCTATACGCACTTACATATATATGAATATATACATACATAGTAAATAGGAATAATAATAATTTGATCAATTTATGAAATAGAATATTTTTTCTTTGACTGAGATTCATTAATAATTCAGTAATGAGATAATGGACAATAACGTTAATTAACATGAATTATGAAAGCTCTAATAAGATATATGTTAAAAATTTTTCGCGCTAGTTACTGCTCGATATTACATAAAGATCACCTCGTTTCGTTATAAAGCTTTTTTCGTTAGGAACTATTTTAAGAAATAGTGTAAATAGTTTCTTTTAAGTTGACTATTTGCATTGTTTATTTATACGAAAATCGTGAAAATTTTAATATTACTAGATATTAACCCTTTGCACTCGAGAGGTGATCATCAGTCACCATTTCATAAAATTTGGAAGATCGATATTAATTAATATATCAAATTTAATGTAATCTAACAGTGTGCGAAGTATCGAAATCAAATAATTCTACAATTCTATTATTATACAATTCTTTATTTACTGGTCAAAAAAGTATCTTCAGCCTTTTTAGTAGAGAATCTTTGATTTTCTCACTCTTCTCTAGCCAAAAAATCGTCGAGTGCAAAGGGTTAATAATATTTCTACTATTAATATTTATACTACTGATATTTCTAGGTACCCTTGGAAGACTTGAAACAGGCATCCCAAATGTTGGTTCAAGCACTGGCAATACGTAAAAAGTATATGAGCAATTCTAAACAGAGTTTTCCTTCTATCACGTCGCGATTTCTGCGTTCTATCGGTAAAAAACCATTATACAGTGATGACGAAGTTCACCATGATGATCGTAAAGATATCGCAGGTATTTATTACAAACTCCTGAAATAATATCATTTTTGGCATATAATCTTTTTTTTTTTTTATCAATCCCTGTTTGTGAATGTTTATGACGTAAAGTCAGTTTAATGTGTTGTTTCTTAAGGTAAAAAATTGCAGTTAGAAGTTGAAAGTGAAATTATGGATGTTCGATCCGATGCAGACGTCGATGCTCTGATCAAAGATGCGCCTTTGAAAGGTCCTTCTCCCGTTATTATCCTTTGCTTAAAACTTTCCTTTAATTGTATTGCCTTATTTTATGCTCAGAGTTGCTTCTCTTTCCATATACACATGCATAAAAACGTTACATACTCAAAGATGGAATATTATTACAAATAATTACGTTACCTTAACAAGAATGATGTTTTAATACTTGTTCATTATAAATAATGTTAATATTAGATCATCCCGTGCACGCACCTGCATCACGAGGAGATCCATGGGAATGTGAATTTCCTCCAGCAAGAAATTACAAAATTGCCCCTGTTAATGGTGTCTTCAATCTATATGCTAACGAGAAAGATTTAGCTAATGAAAAGCCAATTCCTTACTTGTATCCTGATTTAGCAACTTTTGTCAGAGACATGAACCTCCTTTGTGCAATGATTGTTGATGGTCCATTAAAGTCTTTTTGCTATAGAAGACTGAGTTATCTTTCATCGAAATTCCAACTACATGTGTTATTGAACGAGCTTAGGGAGCTTGCTAGTCAAAAGGCAGTTCCTCATAGGGATTTCTATAACATCCGAAAGGTCAGTATGGAAAAGATATAAGTGATAGAAATTATGTTATAAGCCTATATCGTGAACATGTTAAATATTTGGAAAAAAGCAAGTGACTTACTAATTTCAGGTTGATACCCATATTCATGCTGCATCTTGTATGAATCAAAAACATCTACTTAGGTTTATTAAGAAGACCTTAAAGAATCATGCAGATGAAATTGTAACATGTTCGGGAAATATAGGAACAATGTCTCTTTGGGAAGTATTCCAATCGATGAATCTAACGACTTATGACCTCAGCGTTGATATGTTGGATGTTCATGCGGTAAGTTTGCATTAATCTTTCATATATGAAAAAGTAAGTTTCAAAATAAAAATCTACTTCTAATATCGTTTTCTTTTTTCTTCCTGTTTTTTTTTCTTTTTTTTTCTTTTTTTTTCTTTTTTTATCTTTTTTTTCTTTTCTTTTAGGATAGAAATACATTTCATAGGTTCGATAAGTTTAATGCCAAGTACAATCCAATTGGTGAAAGTCGTCTCCGTGAGGTATTTCTAAAAACAGACAATTATTCAAATGGTAAATTTTTTGCAAGTATAATCAAAGAAGTTGCCAGTGATCTTGAGGAATCCAAATATCAAAATGCAGAACTACGTCTTTCAATTTACGGTAAAAATCCAGAAGAATGGGACAAATTAGCAAAATGGGCAATTCAGAGCAATGTATATTCTGATAATGTGCGCTGGCTTATTCAAATTCCTCGACTTTAGTAAGTTCATTTAGCATGTATCTATTTGTTGTAATTAACGTATAATTTAAAATAAACTCGTTATAGCATTTATGATTTTTGTATAGTGACATTTTTAAACTGAATAAATTGATGACAAATTTCCAAGAGATATTGAACAATATCTTTCTTCCTCTTTTTGAGGTAACAAATGATCCCAATTCTCATCCAGAGTTACATAGATTTCTTCAATATGTAAGTAGACTTAACAAATAACTTTTGATGGTTTTAAAAGGATTATTATTATCAATATTATTATTACAGGTAATAGGATTTGATTCGGTTGATGACGAAAGCAAACCTGAAAATCCTTTATTTGACAAGGATGTTTCTACGCCTGAAAAGTGGGATGATGTTGAAAATCCTCCTTATGCATATTACCAATATTACACCTATGCTAACATGACAGTTTTAAATCATTTTAGAGCGTAAATATACTTTTATAATGAGTAATTAATATTATATGTCTGTTTAGATAAATATTTCATATAGATTTTTTTATGATTTTTAGAGAACAAAAATTAAACACCTTTGTTCTTAGACCACATTGTGGTGAGGCTGGTCCCATTCAACATCTTGTATGTGGTTATATGATGGCAGAAAGTATTTCTCATGGTCTTTTACTTCGTAAAGTACCAGTTCTACAATATTTGTACTATTTGGCACAGATTGGAATTGCAATGTCACCACTTAGTAACAATTCTCTCTTTTTAAATTATCATCGTAATCCATTACCTGAATATTTAGCAAGAGGATTATGTATAAGTCTTTCTACAGATGATCCTCTTCAATTTCATTTTACCAAAGTTAGTATCATATGAAGATATTCCTTATTCTTTAAAAGTATATAATTTTTATAACTACGTATTTGTTCCACATAAATTGATAATATATATTTATAATATTTATTTATAATATTATTTTACAGGAACCTTTGATGGAAGAATATAGTATTGCTGCACAAGTATGGAAACTTAGTTCATGTGATATGTGTGAATTAGCACGTAATTCAGTACTTATGAGTGGCTTTCCACATAAGGTATGCATTCTACGGATACACGTACATAAGGTAAATAAATTATTATTGTATAAACATTTTTTTTTTATTTTATAGAGTAAACAATACTGGCTCGGGCCAAATTATACTAAAGAGGGTGTAGCCGGTAATGATATTACACGAACAAATGTGCCGGATATTCGAGTGGCCTATCGATATGAAACGTTAGTTGATGAATTATCGAATATTTTCAATGTCGTTGAAAGCCCCCAAGCCGGTTTATTTTAATCCTTAATAAAAATACAAAAAATCCTTAAATATAATACAATAATTATTCTATAACTATAAATAGTATATTATAAAATTTGACAAAACTGCGATGAAAACTATTTATAAGATAAATCTTGTATCGTATATGATTATGTGATTTATGCTAATAATTATTATCAACTTTCACTAACTCCTTTGTAAAATATATCTTTTATTAGTTACAGTAGTCGAAAAAGGACGATCTATAAACAGTCTCATTTACATGTTATTTGATTGTTTATATATTTCGATGATAGTTGCATGATTTACATCTAATAATTAAAAACTTTTGCGTTTTCTATTTTAAGTTGTCTTAGTTATAAAACCGAGATTATTCTTAAGAGTAAATGTAAACGCTAAGTTATAAGAAAACGTTTTTCACTCAGGTTTCAGAATTTTAATATCAAACAGAGAGAAATTAATCTCAAATTTTTTATATACATTGACCAATTTAAGCATAGTTAGGTACTAGATGAAGTTCCAATTTCAAATGTTACTATCTTTATTATTGAATGATATATGCGTACATATACGCACGCGCGAATTCAATTTAATATTATGTAAACTAAAACTGCGATCGTATTAACTGTATGTAAAGAAAAAGAAATGTGAAATATCGTAAAGTAACAGTTCTCATTTTCCATATTTTAGCCACAGTAAAAGAATCTATCAGCCTAGCCTTTTCTTAATTTCAGCCTTATTTTCTTACCATTTTGTACATTTATACAAAAATTATATATGTTATTTGTTTTTAAAATGCATGCTTAATTTAAATAATATTCAAGTATAGATAGTTTTTGCATGAATTATATTTTTCTTTATAATGTTTATATGGTTTTCACCACTATTAATGTAAATATTAAATTTGAAGATACTAAATTTAGTATTTTGTGTAAAATAATTAGATTTGTATAATAGTAAAAATTATTTTAATATTTTTAAACCATTAATATATAAGTTTTAAAATTATTAATATGTAATAATACATTTCTTTTTAATTTTTGAGATAACTTTGTAATTAAAGAGCTTCTATTGGCAAGTATATAATAATATATTGACATTTGTAAGAAAATCTAATAACGAATATAAATTATTATTATTATTGTTGTTGTTGTTGTTGTTGTTGTTATTATTATTATTATTATTATTATCATTATTATTATTATTACGCAGAAAAAAATATATCTATTGCATAAAGTATACACTATATAGTAGAAATGTACTTGCACTGTTAAAATAATTTTGTGTTATCAATATCAAAATCATATATACAATATTTTATATTCTATAAAAATATTTATAAACAATGCTATAAATTTGCAAATTTATTGATTTTATAAAACTAACTATACTCACTTTACTTACCAAAGTTAGTAATTAAAAACAATCTATCTGTATATATATTTAATGTACATAAATTTATTATTATCGTATTTGTATCATAGAATAATATACACAAAAAAAATTGTTTAATCAGAAGGTGAATTTCACAATTAGAAAACAATAATTTTAACTTCAGTAAAAATAGGAATAAATGATAAATAAATAAATTACATAATTGAATGAAGATTATTTTTCTATATTTTCATTTTCTTAATGAATACAATAATATAAAGAATGTAAGATAAATTTTTATTACTTCAGAACATTAAAAAAAGTAAAACATACTGTTATATTTTTAATCATAGATGTTATTGAATATACGTGGACTTGGATAAAAGTGTGATTTTATGTTAAATTTATATTTTAATTAGTATTTTTTAGGTATAAAGACTTTAGTTGAGTTATATAAATATAGAAAAATAATTCTCATTAAATAATTTTAACAAAGTGTAACATAAAAGGAACAAAAACAGCTTTTTTGTATTTTGTTATTATTTCAAGTATTACACTCATTTATATGACAATTTATTTTTTGTTGGTGCGTTTATTTTGTATTATTATTTTAAGTACGTTAAAGAATGTATATTTTGTTTATATTATTAACACTTTTGTTTTTTATTGGATTTTCTTACTCTTCTCTCTAGATTGTAAACTTTCTCTAAGTTTTGATAATATTTCTGTAAATATTACTGTTCCTGTGAAAACTAGAATTGTACCAATCCAATGATATAATGTAAATGGATTTTTAAAATATATTATAGAAAAAATTAGAGACAAAAATTTTCGCAGCGTTATTACTAAAGTTACTGTGAGAGATGTACATTCAGTTATCAATACAAAAACAGAACTAATGCACATATATCTAAAATTACGATTAAGGATTATAAGTTATTCAACTTTGACAATATATATATATATATATATATATCCGAATATTAATAAAAGGATACTGTGTGAGAATATTTCCTATAAGATATACAATTAATTTTGGTATTTGTAAATTAATAATTGATATTTTTATTGGTTCTGATGCTAGACAATACATAAAGTGATCCCAGATATTAGGAGCCAATGTTAAAAAAAATGGTAAAGGTAATAAATGCTGAAATCAGATATTTGATCTTACATGAGTATTATATATAGTATTGCATGAACTTATAAATAAAATAGAAAAATACAATTAAAAGATTGTACCGTGTAATATAATGCTTCTCTGGCATTTTTTCCATACTTAGAATTCAATACTTCTTGATAAATACCCATTCTTGCAGATACAAATAATGCAATAGTTAATAACGATATTCCTAATATCCACCAAAAGAGATCATCCCATGGTGTAGTAGGCACTTGTTCAACATTTTTAGGTTGTAAAGATTTAATTTCTTTGCCACTAACAACAGTGCAAATAACAATTCCGAGTGTTATCATAAATACTGACAAATATTTACTAAAAGTATATTTTTTTTTCAAAATAATGATACCCATGATCATATTAGCTATCAGAGAACCCTAAAATGATATATGCACACAATGATTATGCAGTTATTTAATAATATAAATCTGAATACATTTTGTATCTAAATACTTACAGCTCTAAATATCATATGTAATGGCATGGGTATATTAAAATTAAATGCATAATTGTTACAAACATTTGCAACAAAAAACATTGTTACTAATACAAAATAATCTTTTATTCCTACATTGGGCTTTACGCTCCCACATTTTGAAGTAAATAAAAATCCTTCTATCGATATAAAAAGAAACTGTGAAAATGTAATAAGATTTCCACTACCTGGATCATCTCTGAAAAAGCAGTAATCATTACAATTCTATTAATAACGAATAGCATTTAACTTAGAATATCACACTCCGAAATTACATTAAATGACACAAATTACTTTATTAATAAATTTAGAAGTAATATATAAAGGTCATGCATGTAATAATTAGAAAATAAATTGTAATACTGACTTAACAAGAAGTTCCAGAAAAAAAACGTTGCTACAACAACCAAGGAAGGTGAACAATATCGCAATAGTTGCGCGCATATTTTATTGTTTAATAAATATCACAAGGTTTAACCTAAAACTATCAGGCGGTATCACGTCTTTCCGTCCAACTGCTATATTTTAAAATTATACGGAACGTGGTTAGTTGACGACTGAGTGAATTATCAGAAAGTTACGATACATAATAAGTTGTTGTATCATTTAAACGTCACATAATTTCTTCTATATACAGTGTCTATACATAGGCACGTAAAAATTGTAGCGCATACACGTGAAGGACTTTATTTTATCGTTTGTAGTAACCCACCCAGCTAACTCACATATACATACATATATAGATAAATCTTATATAAATGTTTAAATTTGTATATAAGGGAAAATTTCAATTTATTATTAATAATGCGAATAATTATCACCTGCATTCGTTATTAGAAAATCTGTAATAATTTTGGACTTTTCCAAAGACTTTTATTATATTTTTGTAATACCTTTTTTATGAATCAAATTTGTCATTTAAATAAAAATTTATATTTTATAATGATAAATTTAATAAATTTTTTCAAAAAATTTGATACTGAAAGAATAAGGTTTGAAAAGCACTCGTAGCTAACCAAGAGAAAATTTTGAGGGAAAAGAGGAACGAGGGAATGAATATTTAAAATTAAAAATTTTAGTTTAAAGAATTTAACAATTTCCGAGATATTGATAAAAAATCTTAGGTACAGTACATTGAATTTTACTTATGCACGTACGTTTGTGCCAGTGTTTCTGACTCTGACTTTGGCTCTGACTGGTTCAGTATTGTACGTATCTAGAAACACACGGCAGCGATCGGTACTATATATATACAACGGGTGACCTAGTTAAAAAAGTATTTTCACTGAAATAAATATTACTTTTGATGAAATTTAAAATATACGAACGTGGACAAGAGAGGAATTCTGTCCCTCTTCCTGCAACTCGCCTACCCTATAAATATAATCTAACCTAACCTAATCACTATTTTACATGACACGTAGAATGAAATAATTCAGACTGTTATGACTGTACCCTTGTCTACGCGTATGCTTTAAATTTCGTCGAAGTCTATATTTGTTCAACTAGTTCACCCGTTGTACGTATTGAATGGACAGACCGACGTATATATTATTACGGACGTGTACGTAGGTATGAGTAAAATTCGAGGTATCGCATCAAAAGCTCTTTATTAATATCTCGGAAACTATTAAATTTTCGATGCTGAAATTTTAAAGTTTGAGATCGTGTCCCTACTCCTTCCACCCCTTTAAAATTTATTTACAGTTTGTAGATTTTGAATTTCGCTTACGTGACCGTCGCTTTACGATGATCGGGATATTAATTTAACGTAACCTATTTTAATTGTCCGATTTAGTGTGCTCATGTAGCTGAATTATAGTTGAAGGAATTTCATTGTTAGATTCATCTGTTATATAAGTACAAAAGATGACAACCGCCTCAGAACAGTAGATAAGTGGTGGACGAGCCAAGGCTGACACACGCGCTGCTATGGATGCATACGTATACGTTGAATTCTAATAATTTGGTATTGGAATTGGAATTTTGCTAATATCTCGTAAACTAAAGTCAACCGAACAATATCGTAAAGGAAAAAGTTGTTAAAAATTTGTCCCTTTTTAACATATTTCAAAGTTATCAGGATCAGGAAGGACCCAGTCTGGTTCTGTCCGTCTCAGAAAGCCAGAAGCGTATACCGTATTTTTGTATCGGTAAAAAGTATCTAATACAGATGTATCGATGTTGATATCAGTCTTCACATATTGCAATCTGCATCTTAAACTTACGATTCGATATACATTATATAATTATGTATCGTAATATATTTTGTAATTAAAGCGTGAAGACACTTTATTAGTTTTAATCGTATATACAATTCGTATATATAATTCTTAACGAATGGTTTGTTTACTGACGATAAGATTGTTCTTTACTGATTCCCACTTTTCTTATTTTTATATCTGAATTTATAAATAATCTATTTATAAATGTGTAACGGGTATAAAAAGTAAAAATATACGATCATTAATTATACGTTTTATTTCGAATTTAAGAATAATGAACTGTTAATGAACTAAATAAATGAATTAGACCGGTAACATGGTAATTGCACTGAAAACTGTTGAATATAATTCAATCCATACAAAAGAAAATGCAAGTAGTGTGTCTGTTTCGAAGCTGCTTAGTGTATTGCACGGCTCAATGTCATTCCTCGCCTATGTGGCATACTGACAGGTGTTGGATGCGAGATTCCTCATCTGCCAATGAAACTGACATGGTCCAACCAATGGGGTATTTAACCCGCACTTGACCCTGGTTTCGGCCGAAGGAGCCGACTTGGTGGGCCACTTCAGGTCTGGTATGGATATGAGATCCAACCGTTGATCTCCATGGCCCATGTTGCCACTCCTTCTTCCGCATCCAGTGGCATGCGCGCGAACGCATTGGACACCACCCACTGGATCTCAAGGATGTGGGCCCACCAACTTCACCGAAGTTTTCCTCACCGCACAGCGGTCTACTGGAAACATCAGTTCCATCGGGGTTTCTGGCGGAACACATACACCAGAACCCACACCAGCTTCGTCCTCAAAAGAAAATGCAGAGAATTTAGGTGTTTGTAAAGTGATAATAGCGATGACAGTAGAGAGCAAAGTGTAGAAAAGTTATTGCTAATTTATGAATACCGCTGGATCGGTGGAGATTTGTGAAAAAACCTTCCCGCAAAACTGACAAGTCCTTCCTTTTATCATATTTTTATATTTTACGTTAAAAATATATATATATATTGACAAACCAGCGAAAAATTGTAATTTACCTCGAGAAATGTTACAAGTATTTTGAAAAATAATATTAAACTTTCACTTGATTACTGACGATGATTTATACAGTCTGTTTAATTAACGATTACATGTGTATTCAAAGTAAATAGCAATCGAATCGTAGACATGTACACCACATTAATGACTTTGCCTCACGTTTTCACATCACATTTGGCTGAAGAAAGGAAAAAATGTGAAGCAGATTTACATCCTATCCACCGAGTTTGAAGAGAAACACAATCATGCATGAAATAAACACCAGAGAATGTCGTGGTAGAATTTCAAGAATATCATTCAAAAGAAATCTCAGATATGCTCTGGTGAATATGATTTCCAAATAATATGTTAGGTCTAGCGGAAAGTTCTATCCGGTAATGTCATCTTAAGTTTTAACACGAATGAACGTGTTCGAACAGTAAGAGATCCTTTTTTGACAACATCGGAAATTGCAGAACAACTCAACTCAACGCAATAAATCATTTCGAACCATATTTGGAAACTTGCATTGTCGTATGAGTATTCCAGATAGGTGCCTCATGAGTCGAGTGAACAAAATTTACACCACTGAGTCGTCTTTCACAGATCTCTGCTTGGAACAGAAACAAACTGTTGTTGGACCAGATGATAACGGGTGATGAAAAGTGGATTACATATGATAATATGTAATATATGATCGCGAGGAAAATAGCAACCCAGATAACACCCCCTCCATCTCAAAATTGAGCTTGAACCTTAATAAGAGAATGCTGTGTATAACGTTGGGACCATAGATTTGAAGGATGTCCCTCCAAAATTTTTTGGAGAAAGAAAGATTCCAAAATGAAGTAGGTGTTAAAACAAGCACTGCTCGCATTCTTTACCTCCAAAAGTGAGTTCTTTTATACAGGGTATCCCAGCAACGGTAGTACAGGAAGGAGGTGACGCACACAACACGTAGAAATGAATCGAAAAAAAAGAATAAAATTTCTTTATTCGAAGCTTCGTTTTCAAGAAAATCGACTTTGAATATTCACCGAATACGCTGATATACCGATGGTCCTTACAATAGCCAAAATTAAGTACACGTGAACTCGATGAATATTCAAAGTCGATTTTCTCGAAAACGCAACTTCGAATCAAAAAATTTGATTCTTTCTTTTTCTATTCGTTTCTGCGTGTAGAATCACCCCCTTTCCAGATGCACTACCGTTGCTGGGACATCCTGTAGGAATGGGAAAAGGTTAAAAATACCATTACGCTAGGAAGAGGTTATAAATAACGATAGAAATGATATTATTCGGTAAATATTAATAAACGCGTTGAAAATGTATTATTTCCTTTTACTTCAAAGACGGACAGTACTTTCCGGTAAATTTAATAATGTCCAGTAATTTCTGTCTATACAACGGTGACGAAATATTTTTGATTAAATATATCGATCATTAAATAAAGTTTGCTAATATTTTTTTCTGCAAACTCGAATTTTGTTGATTCAGAGTGGAAGAAACTACTTTTGTCTGTAAATGGCACACCGGTAAAACTTCCACGCATGACGTGGTTTGAATATTTGAATTATATATGAAAGCCATTGCGAATTATTTGTCGGTACTATCGAGTCATTGATTCTTAATGAACGAACTATTCAACAGTAAGCCATTAACGAATAAGCAAGAGCAATAGCGATAACTAGTTCGTTTTCACGGTCGCTCTGCTTATCCGTAACAAGTAAGATAATATGTGACATTACTTCTTGGAAACTAAACTGCGGATGGATCAAGTCGCTGAAAATTATAACGATTTCGAAGATTTTTTGTTTCTTCGATATTCCAAACTGAATTACAATTTTTTGTTGCTTCATCAGAGCGTAGTTTTTTTTATGTAAAATATAGAAATATGACAATAAAGCGAGTTTAAGAAAAATTAATGATTTAACATCGTTTTTCGAGAGAACGATTGAATTCGGAGATCTATGTCTCCTGAAGCAATATCGTCCCTCTCGACGAGTAGAAGCCGATGCGATCATAAAAATGCGATCGTAAAAATTGATCTAGAAAATCTTAAAAAAGCCTATAAACGCCAATTTTGGGCAGAAGTTTTTTTTTTCACAAATCACCATCAATCCAAAGGTGTAGAATCGCGTTGTGGTGATCGTGATATATAGTTTTTATACATTCTGTAATTAAAGGTAACGAAATTACTTATTATGTATAAATATAGGCCTTTCGTACTCGCAAAATTTTCGGCCGCTAATAGTTTCTACGCCATTATTTTGATAAATAAACGGTTTAAATAAATCGTTGATAAACAGTTGTCAATGGTTCTTGTAATTTGATGATTCTTGTTATTTTGTCGGCCGAGTAGCAAGTATACGCGCTGTGCTTGTCGCCTCTCACAGATGCACACGAGCAGATGAGCAAAATTCAATAATTAGTAACAATATTTTTTTACTTATATTTCGGAAACC